CTCCCTATTATAATTATAGTAGAATATATTCCCCAAACCCTATTCTAGTTCTGAAGGCCCCTATGTTAGGCGGCAAAAGGTCCTTTTGTATATGAGATTTCAACTCAGCGCTTTATCAAGGATGGTAGCCAACTCGATTAGGGATTAGGGTTTAGGGTTTAGGGTTTAGGGTTTAGGGTCTCTTGCTTCTGTTCTTGCGTTTGCTCCTCCGCGAGTAATACCTGCGTCTACCAAAAGATACCCTACGACCCTGATTTAGAGCCCTTTAGTTTCGACGACCACAGACCAAGCCGCCACTCGGCATCTTCAGGCCGCATGTCCAGGGTGTAGTGTTGATAGCCGAATCCCTGCATTGCCTTAGATACCTGTTGCCGGGTCTTGTTGGCGTAGATGTTGGGGCTTGAGGTGTTGTGTTGGTAAATGGTATATTCTTTCCCATGGACAATGCAGGGCTCCGTCAACTGTAGGAAATATACCTTTTGGCCAGTTTGGGTCAAAGCAGTTGAACAGCTGCCACTACCGTACAACGTGAGGGCTTGCAGGCTGCAGCTCTCCTGCAGGGGTCCGAATTCTTATCGGCATGATTCGTAAAACACCACGGCCTGAATGTGCAAGCGCGGGGAGGTGAGTATTCCCATATTATTCCTTGGGTTCCTGTTATAACACTATACTTTTTAAGGTACCCCTATAGTACAGGATCGGAAGGACTCATGTAGAAGCCGACTATTCAGATCAAACCGCCTTGAAACTCCACCTAACATGGGGGGCACCGGGTTGGGTTTTAAGAGATAAAGTACGGGCATGAGTGGCTAGGAGGCTTGAAACTTTATTCCGTAGTGTTCCATAATACGGGTTTAGGGTTGGGGGTGGATGACCCTCCGTCCCTTTGTATCACGATTTGGGATCTCTCTAAGGGGAACCGTTGTGACCAGTACCGCCTCGCCCGAAGTGCAGAAGCTGCAGCGCAAAGCCTCCACAACAGCTGGGCCTGTACAGTACTTGGAGGTTCATGGGTACTTATAAGTAGGGTTATAAGTAGGGTAACTATAGTTATAATCTATATTAGGGGACTTATAACTCCACTTATAACTACCCATGAACCTCCAAGTAGCGCCACATCCAAGCTTTTCTTCTTGCGGATTCTCGGTGCACCCTTCCTTTCTGAGACGGTTTAGGGTTTAGGGTTCAGGGTTCAGGGTTTAGGGTTTAGGGGTGAGACACTCTGGCTTGAAGAATCAGCGAGGCAGATCTACAGGTGTCCATGAGGCTACAAGCTTTATAGGGCTTAGTCAAAACTGCCCAACTGCCAACAATATTCCTCAGCATCCCTTAAAACAGATATGCTGGAGTAAACACTTGTTCAAATTGCCAAGGCCCCTATTTGAGGGATTTTAGCGTCAGGGTATTCCTGAACCATGGGTGGCATGAAGCTGCTAAGGCTCCCCCTTATCGTTTACGGAACATATAGTTCGAGAGTCCCAACGCCTATGGATTTCAGGGTTAACTAGGTACGTGTATTAAGGGGCCGACACCCTACCATGCCACATGTATGCCCTGAGTTCCTAAGCCGACGATCGGGGTCTGGTAAGTTCGGCCTACTTTCGGAGTCTGGGGTTGCGAGGTGTCTTGCCTGGTTTTGTGTCTACAAAAAATAGGGGCCCCAATAATTACCTATGTTAGTTTGAGGGTTGCCTATTATAATTGCAGTATAGTATCCCCCAAACCCTATTCTAAATATGAAGCCCCCTATATTAGGCTTACGGCTTAATCTTAGGGGCTGAGCAGGTAACCTTTAACCTCTTGGGGCTTATAGAATCCTACCATAACTCAACAGGTTAACCTTTGTTGGGCTAAGGAATTCAGCCCCTAAGTATAAGTCCCCTGATATAGGTTAGAACTATAGCTATCCTACTTATAACCCAACTTATATCTACCCATGAACCTCCAAGTAGTCTCACGGTTGTAGAGGCTTTTATATTACGCAAAACCCTGGTTTTTGGGCTTACCTTAAACTACCAAGCCCCGCTTTTTTGTGGGTTCTTATTATAAACCCTAAAAGGGAACTTATAGGGACGCTACAAAACATCTAGGGTTTGGAAGGTTCAGGTAGGGTTTAGAGCCCGAAGTCGTTTAGACGGATGGGTTCACCGCGAATCGGCCAGCGAAGGCTGAACGTGAAACAAGAAGCAAAGCAAACAAAGAGCTTGACTGGGGTTTAGGTTTTAGGGTGTAGGGTTTAGGGTTTGGGGTTTAGGGTTGAGGGGTTTAGGGGAGTTCTTGACTGGCTTCACCAGGGTTACTTGGAGGTTCATGGGTAGTTATAAGTAGGGTTATAGGTAGGCTAACTCTAGTTATAACCTATATTAGGGGACTTATAACTGCACTTATAGCTACCCATGAACCTCGAAGTAGGGGTTTGGGCTCAGGGGTTCAGGGTTTGGGGGATGAGGGTATAGGTCAGGATCCTGGGTGTTAATCTGCTATTGCTTTGAACCCCTTCGTGTAGCTAATGCATCCACAATCCACAGCTCCAATCTGATGATGTACGCTTCTATGCCGCGTTCGGGGTACGCTTTCATTGTGGTGTACGCCTATGGTTTTGGTGTGTAGGCTCTACCTCAACCTACCAAAACCTACTTTGTTGTAGGGTTCCTACAAATCTGATATTAGGGTTGATAATAGGAACCCACACAAAAAGTAGGGTTTGGTAGTTTAAGGTAGGCCACTGCGTTTTCAGTAGACACCGGTTTCGTGGGGCCATAGTCATACAGCGCCGCCCGGATGCCTAAGAATTACTTGGAGGATCATGGGACTTAGTAAGTAAGGTTATAAGTCCCCTAATTGGGGTTATAAGTATAGTTAGCTTAGTTATAACCCTACTTACTAAGTCCCATGATCCTTTAAGTACACTTCAATGCAGTAAGATACCATGAGCCATACAGGGACGCCTCTGACGATTTCTGACGATTTCTGCTTGAACATGGGATTGCCTTGTCATGACTAGGCCACCCCAAACCAACCATTAGCTCAAAGTTCGGAGTAAGATACGGGCCCGGGTAATTGGAATAGGCTTTCGGTGAACAGCCGACCTAGAACCGTACTTCTAACACATTATGAGGCTCCTCCGTAGACCCCATACCCTGCACCAGGAATCCGCAACCCTGAATCATAAAATACGAACCCGAATACCTAAACCCTAAACCCCATCAACCTCGAAACATAAGCCGGAAACCCTAAACTTCAACCCCAGAAGCAGACACCCAAGACCTTAAACCCTGAACGTCCTCATCAGGTCTCACGTCAGGAATCTGAACACGAGCTTTGCAGGTGCCCTAAACTCTAATCCCTGAAATTCTAAACCTAAGCTTTAGGGCTTAAAATTAAAGTTTAAACCCGAAACACCAAACAAAAAGACCAACCCTTAACCCCTAAACCCTACACTCTAAGCCCCAACTTCCGAAAGCCTCTCACCCCTTACCTCCTGCACCTGGATCCCGAACGCGTCATCTTTTTGAACACCAGGCAGCCATGGTCCACTTCCAGGAGGCTCCGTGAGATGTGGGTGTTTCCGAAAATAGGAGCCCCTAATATAGTACCCCAAATTAGTAGGATCCCTATTATAATGACCCCAAAATACGGTACCCCTAATTTTCGGAAACTCCCATGTGTTAATGGAGGAGCCTAAAAAGGTTACCAGTACTTTAGGGGTTCATACCTTTAAATCCTAGGGTTTAGGGTTCAGGGTTTAGGTAAACCCAATACCTTAGCACTTTAAACCCTAGACCCTAACGATCACTTGCTGCTGCGGGCACCCAAAAGTATTATGTGCGTTTTTACTTCGTAAAAGTGAGCCGCAATCCTAGCTGCGGGTTGTTGGGAGGGATTTAGGGTTTAGGGTTTATGGGGGTTTAGGGTTTCGGGGTTCAGGGTTTAGGGGTTCAGGGTTTTAGGGTTTAGGGTATCCACCGTCTTTGGGGGGTTCCTTATTCTAACTACCATTCTAAAAATGCCCCAGAATATTCTGATTTTGAAGGCCGCCCCTGGACCTCAAGAATCAGAACAGGGTTTTTGTGGGTTTTTTGCTGCCTAGATATAACAGAACTATGCAGGCGATAGAAAGGGTATACTGTTGCTATTTATTGCGATCTCAGTACTTGGAGGTTCATGGGTAGTTAGAAGGCTCCTTTGAGGGATCTATAAGGGGGTTCTATAAGGGCTCCTATAAGGGGTCTATAAGGGGTCATACTTGGAGGTTCATGGGTAGTTATGAGTGAAGTTATAAGTCCCCTCATATCGGTTGTAGCTATAGTTACCCTACTTGTAACCCTACTTATAACTACCCATGAGCCTCCAAGTATACTGTTGCTATTTGCTGCGACCTCTGTAGCATGGCTTTGTTTAAGGGTCAAGTCTTCAAGGTGTTGGGTGAAGGGTTCAGGGCGTAGGGCCTAGGCTTAGCCATGGAGCCGATATCGACACCTCTGAAAACACAACGACATCGCCGCCTGTCCAGGGTGTGTGATTTTCAGATATTACTTGCTTGCTTTAGAAATGTTGAGGCCTGAACCCTAAACCCTAAACCCTAAATTCATGTGGTTTAAAGATAATTTCAGGTACGTTCTTCGATGAGCCTGTGTTGGAGTCTCCCCGAGCCTCTAAAGCCTAAATCCGAAAGCCCTTCTGTTCAATCCCCACACTGTCAGCCCGAATCCTATCACCTTTACTTGTGGAAAGCCCCCGGGGTTTAGGGTTTAGGGTTTAGGATAGAACCCGTACTGAAACCCTCTTTTTTGGAGCTCTAGTGTAACAACACCGCAAGCCCCTTCTGCGTGGCGCTTAGAGTAACCTCCGTCGAGCCCTGTTAAAAAAAGCCCTTACATTAAAGAGGTCCTACGCCCTATTACAGTTATTCAAGCCCCTATATTAAACCCTAAGCCCTAAACCCTAAACCCTATAATTCAAGCCCCTACATTAAACCCTAAGCCCTAAACCCTAAACCCAATATTAAACCCTAAACCCTAAACCCTATAAACCCTAAACCCTATAAACCCGAAACCCTAAACCCTAAACCCAAACCCTAACCCCGAAACCCTAAACCCTAAACCCTATAAGCCATTCACTAAGCCCCGCTGCGCTTGGCAGATCAAAGCTGCTGGTGCGCAAGCTGCCGCGGAGGCAGCACACTTAAAGGATCATGGGACTTAGTAAGTAGGGTTTAGGGGATTATGGGGGTTTAGGGTTTAGGGGTTTACGGTTAGGGCGGGTTTAGGGTCTACTTGGAGGTTCATGGGACCTAGTAAGTAGGGTTATAACTAAGTTAACTATACTTATAACTCCAATTAGGGGACTTATAACCTTACTTACTAAGTCCCATGATCCTCCAAGCAGAATCTCTTGAGCCCTCGGAAGCCTGCGCAGGGATTTTGGCTTCGTGTCAAAAGGGGCCTTCATGGTTTAAGGGTTTAGGGGTTTAGGGGTGTAACGGTTTAACGGCGTATAACATGTAGATACCAGGCTTGAGGGCTCATAGCTTAGAGGACTTTCTGGGTTCGGGGTCTGGGCTTTAGCGGTTTGGGGTTTAGGGTTTCGGCTTTAGGGGTTCGGGGTTTAGGGTTTCGGGTTTCGGGTCTAGGCTTTAGGGGTTTGGGGGCATTTCGGAGTTCAAGGTATAGGGGGCCGAGGCCGGGGGATTCAGATGCTTTGGGATCTACTCGGAGGTTCATGGGTGGTTATCACGGTCCTTTAAGGGCTCTATAAGGGCTCTAAAAGGAGTTCTACAGGGGTCATACTTGGAGGTTCATGGGTAGTTATAAGTGGTGTTTT